TTTTTTTCAAAATTATTCATTTGACAACATCTCATTGTCAAAATTTATGTTTACCAATCCATTGTATACACACAAATCAGAGTTGGGAACCTATTTTCCATGCAGTTTGGCAAGGTAAGTTACAGAAAATGCAGAGATGGGAATGCTTATTTGAAATGACTACCTTCTTAATTTTACCATGGATTGCATCCCATAATCTAACTCCACCATAACACATGCAGCAATTGAAAATTCTGTATTATTTATTTCTAACTCGAAGGTCTGCTCACCACGTTTTCTTACCTTATTTAATGTGGACTGTATTAGGAAGATCCCTGCTTAACAAATCCCTCTCATCTACACTAGGTAGCCCGCTGTTCTCTTTTTTTATAAAAACATGTTCACTTATCTGTGAACAACCACGGAAAACTGATTTTTGAACCCCCCCCCGCTTTTTGGATATAAGCCACTAAAGTCTGATTTTATTACTATTTTAGAAATAATGTGTTCCTGGAAAATTAAAGTGACTGAAGTCTGATTTTTGATAACTTTTTAAAAAATAATGTTCCTATTTTTAGAAATGAGCCACTGAAGTGTGATATGCTATAGATATAAAGAATGTTAAATAAAAATAATGTTTTTATATTAAATATCATTTGTGTCGATTTCTTTAATGGGGGACAGCTTTTATTATTAAAATCTCTAACAGAACTATAACTGCTTTTATTATTGAAATCTCTACAGAAATATGATTGCGCTCATATTCGATCTTTCGTGTTTGAATCAAGTCATTCACCCTACAAAGAAAAATCAAACCGATCATGCTCACCTGATCTGATCGATGATCGTCCCATTATGAAGAATTCAACATTAGTTTATAAACAAAGCACTCATGTAAACTGTCTGATTGCGAGCACAGAACATTGATCAATGTGTTTGCTCATAACTTCCTCGTATTTGTTGAGCAACTCGAATCAACATGTTACGAATGTCTGATTGAATTTGATTGGATTTCTACCATGTGTGATCAAGCTAACTCAACCATACTCTTGCAGCCCTCCGACTCATACTCCACAATGTATATTTCTGAAAATTACTTTGCATCTGTAAGAAACTTTGCATTTGTAAGAAACACGGTGTGATATGATATCTTCCCATAGACATTGAACCTGTACAGGAGGCGCACCATCAGAATAATGCACCTGTGGGAAACATATTTCGCAGCATAATTTCAGAACTGGCAGATTTCAGTTGAGATCGGGAGTAGAACGTGCAGAGTCCATAAATTTATGTTATTCATTTCATTTCATTCGGTTTTTAGATAATAAATTGATTTAAATTTAATACTTAGAATTTAATTCCTTCCGTCGGGTTTGACGGATTAATATTTTAATACAAACTAGGACCCACGTAAAAGGTCCTTAAAACAGTTTGGAGTCATACAAAATTAAGGAAGAAAAAACAGTGAAGTGAATTTAAATTAACAAGGAAATCAAAGAGAAGAAAATTGAATAATTAATTTAAATTGAAAACAGCACATTTTATTAGAAAATTGAAACCAAAAAAATAATTACTTTTAAAACAGTGAAGTGGAGTTTACAGAATAATAAAAAGATTAAGTCCCCAATAGTGAAAAATCTAAATGAAATTTTAATTTAAGATAAAAGAGGAATCCCTTAACAGATAAAAGTGGTATCAATTGAAAAAGAAAATAATTGTGGGATGGAACAGATCTAGTTTTCTAAATAAATTTCCTAACAAATAAGGGGACATGCAAGAACTGATTATCACGTAAATCTATTATAGTCCCTTTCTAAATTTAGAATACATCACAATATGGAAGAATTAAGATCAAACGCGAAACAAATCACGGGGGCATTGAATGCTCTCCTGGAGAATATCAATATACTAGAACGTGTCACATATGGGTGGAGAAAATGGATGTGGATCCTTCAATCCAAACTCGGAACGTTAATTATATGAATAGACCAAATCCCTTCAAACGAGGAGGAGCATCAGAAAACTATCCCCGGAAACTAGAAACAAGGCAAACATGCATGATGAACCTGAACAGGAACAATCAAGAGACGAACAGGATTTACATGCTGAACTTGACCAAGATGAGTCGTTCAATGAGAAGCCTAAGGGTTTTTTTGGAGTCCGGCCATCTAGCGTAACATACATAGAGTATATCTTGTCAGATGGTCAGGTACTACAGTTTTTGATTGATACAGGGGCAAATAAAAATTATGGTGTGTTCCTGTTAAAAGGATATTTAAAGTGGCATCTGTTGGGGGTCACGCGACTATTAAAAATAAATCGAAATTGAAAATATTTAATAACATTGGGAATACGACAGAGATTCAATTTTTTGTATTACCTCATTTAGGAAATTTCTCCTGTATCATCGGCGATGATACATTAAGGCAATTGGGGCAATAATAGATAGGAAAAATGACCTCGTTATAATAGGGAACTACGAAATTCCTTTAAAAGCGCGATTCTCTTCAGATGAATTTTTCACTATAGGGGAAAATTTACCCCATCGTGTTCTCGATAGAAGCGACTCCCTATTAGGAAAATACTGCAAACTTTTTGAACTACTTAGCGGTAATGAATTGCTAGATACGAATATTCGGGCGGAAATAAGACATCAGTCGCCGATCCTATTTACAGAAAGAGTAATCCGTACCCAGCTTGTATGAGAGAAGAGGTAGATAGGCAAATTAAAGGAACTACTCGAAGGAGGAATAATTCGTCCGTCAAAAAGTTCATACAATTCCCCAAATTGGATGTCCCAAAAAACCAAAACCAAACGGGGAAAACGGTATCGTATGGTGATCGACTATAAACGATTGAATGCTGTAAACATTGCTGACAACTATCCCATTCCTGATATCAATGCTACTCCTTGTAGCATTGGCAATGCACATTATTTTACAACAATTGATCTCACATCAGGTTTTCACCAGATACCCATGAAAGATTCCGACATATCAAAAACAGTATTCTCCACTGTGAATGGAAAGTATGAATTTTTGAGGCAAACATTTGGCCTTTCCAAAGAATGATCGATGATGTCTTGAGATAATATATTGGAGATATTTGCCATGTAGGGTATTATTATATCAATCAACCGTTATATAATTGTGTTTGAGAAAATTTTAGATGAGCATTTGGATAATGTTGAGAAAGTGTTCACACGTCTTATGGATGCTAATCTTAAACTAAATTTTAAAACTTTATTGCCCCAAAAAATCTTAAAGAATTGAAAAGCTTCATATTATAGGAAATTTATCAGAAATTACGCGAAGGTAGCCAACCCGCAAACTAATTAAACTAGAGGAGAAAATGCACAAATACGAGTGAATGCTTCAAAAAAGCTAAGAATAATACTAGTCGAAGAGACTCTTTCAGCATTTGGGCAGTTAAAAAAGCTTTAAGTTTTTGCCGACGTGCTTGCCTTTCAAGATTTCACAAAACCATTCAATCTAACGCGGATGCATCAGATTACGCTATTGGAGCAGTTTTGTCACAAGGTAATATTGGCGAGAATAGACCCACTACATACATATCGCGTTCACTAAGTAAGTCGGAGGAAAATTACGCCACCAATGAGAAAGAGCTCCTGGCGATTGTTTGGGCACTAGAAATCTTGCGGTCATACCATTATGGTACAAGGATAATAAGAATTTGTACTGATCATCAACTCTTAACCTTTTCTCTAAGCAATCGCAACTACAACGCTAAGCTCAAGCGATGGAAAGCGCGTATCGAAGAATATAACTGTCAATTGATCTATAGGCCAGGAAAAACGAATGTAGTCGCCGATACACTCTCCTGTCTCAGAACAGAAGTGAACACACTCACAGACTCCGTTGTTGTTCAGAACTCCACAAACTATACGGCATCCTAAAATGATACTGCATCCGAAACAGACACTGCATCAGAAGGTACAAGGCATCCGGCATCGGAAACTGATACAGCATCAGAAGGCATTCGGCTGAACATGACAGTTCATACCTAATACCGCATGTGGAGTGGCCTGTAAATGTATTTTGAAATCAAATAATTCTACGAAATAGGGTGAGTTTCGAGTGTAATGAAGAGACGCATAAGGGTTATAAGGGATTTTCTGTGACTTTGCCTAGGATGACTAGTGAACCCCTTACTAACGTTTTGAAGAAAATTAAATCCTCATGTCATAACGGAATAAAAAATGCTGAATACTATATTCCCCCTTTACAAGAGGCCTACTAATCATTTTTATAGGTAACGGATAAGAATAACACAACGTATGGTTGAGGATGTTACAGTATCTGATAGGGTATTTAGCATTATAGAACAGGAACATAAATGTGCACACCGTAACAGATCCTTGAGAAATATCACTTCCAGCTATGTTAAGGAAAATTCGAGAATGTGTTAAACAATGTAAGACATTTAAAGTAAATAAGTACGATAGACATTAAAGGCCTGCACAAGACGAATTGTATGAATTGTTTTTTCGACACACTGACTTTGCCTACTCAATCATGCGCTATGTATTCCATAGGCATTATCTAAGGTTCGATCGTGGCATGGTTGATTCGAATATTTGCATGGTGTTCTCTATAAATGCAAGGTGTCAACAAACTTACTATCATAAGCCTTAAACTTGGAAAACGTTTGTAAAAACTATAGTAATACGCTTGGTAACAATTAAATAATAAACAAAATTGAACCCTGTTATAAGTTTGCTAGTCTATAGTTTACAACAAACGTAAAATTGTAATCTTTTAACAAGCTTAGAAATGTAAGCTTTGAACAAGCTTAGAAATGTAAGCTTTGAACAAGCTTAGAAATGTGAGCTTTGAACAAGCTTAGAAATGTAAGATTTAAAAAAGCTTAAAAATGTAAGCTTTGAAAACGTTTGTGAAAAGTATTGTAATACGCTTGGGAACAATTATACAATAAACTAAATTGAACCCTGTTGTAAGCTTGCTAGTCTATAGTATACAACAAGCTTAGAATGATAATAATTAGTTGACACACATTCCATCTTTATTTGTAAATTTATAATTTTTTTTATTTGGTATAGTTGAATTAATTAGATGTTTAATTAGATGATTAGATTAAATTAAAGAGATCATTACTACAAACATAAAAGAAACTTCAATTGTTTTCTACATATATAAATTAATAAAAAAAAAATTGGGCTTGTAAAGAAAGTTTTTTGTTTCTATTTTTTCGATTAAGCATTATATTTTTTTTTTTTTTTTGGACTCAAGCCTATTTTTGGCAAATCGCAAAAATTATTTTGTGCTTTTCACAAAATCCTCTGCATTTAATCCAACGGAGACAGTAGCATCTGTATAATTAAAAAAGGAATTAAACTTAAATGCGTAAAATTGTTAAAGTCAATTATGTACATACTTCTTATGGCTTTTGCTACACTCAGACTGCGCACACTCTTTTTATCTTCCGTCCCTTTCTAACACAACTTTTCCGCAACTTGATCTGTCAAAATTTTTCGCCAGCAGTTTTTGGTGAAATTCGGTGCCTTTGCTACAGATAACAGTTCTGTTCCCTTTGAATATAACAAAAAAAAGAAAAAAATTGAGGTTAACTAGAAAGGTTAATTAACTAATTGGAAGCGGTTTCTCTATATAACTTACAAACGAAAGAAAAAAGTTTTTATCATCCTCTAACTGCTTTTCGAACTTTAAAAAATCATCCAAGTCTTTAAACGCGTTATCAGGCATCACGAACTTCAATAATGTTTCTTTCTTCAAACCTTTCACTTCATTCCGTAGGGATTTTATTTCTTCCCGCATTGAAGTTACCTCAGTCGTTAGCCTCAAAAACATGGGTTCAATAGTCTGAGCAAGGGCTTCCGTTATCGCTAAAAATAAATAGAACAAAAAATTATAAAGTATAAAAATTTCAAAACATGTATGTAAAAATATTATTGAATATGTATTTACCTTTTAATGCCACAGGATTTGGTTGTATAACATTTTGACATTCTGAAGTATTGTGCACGAGTTCCGAGCTTAGAAAGATATTGTTAAAGTTTATGTTATTCACTTCAGTCACAGTGTATAACTGGAAGAAATCCAAATTCATTGTTTTATTGCGTAAAGCACAGATTTATTTCATCTTCAGATTTATTGTCGTCGCTTAAATTAGAATCCGCTGCACTACAAGTGGCTGCAAGATCATCCCTTAAATTAGAGTCCACTGCACTACATGTGGCTACAATGGAATCTTTTTTATTACAAGTAACTTCACTAGAACCGCACTTATGTTTTTTGCATTTCAGAGTAAGTCAACAATTTCTTTTGTTTCCTTACGAACACTGTGTTTAATTTTGTAATGCATTTTATATTTTATTTTACTTTTAAAAATGGTATTTTTTCACTTTCTTGCTTCTAAATTTTCACTTATTTCAACTGAACAATCAAAATTAACAAGACAACTGAAAACATAAACAAAAAAAATTCACTTGGACACATAACGGTACTTAAATTCAGTCGCAGCGACTTTGTTTTTGTTTTCATACGAAACCGGTTTTCGTTGCACTTTATGTGTGAAGCAACATACATCAAATGATGTATGTTTATGAAAAGTTGTAGAAATTCGTTAATAGTAAGTTTATTCACCAATCTATTTAAATTACGCATAGGGAATGGTTTGTTGGGAACAACACTATATACTTCCATTGTTCAATTCTGTGCAACTTATGTTATTGAATGAGAGTCAAATCTCTGCCCACAAACTTTAATTTCAAAAGAACACTATGTATAGATAGAAAATAGGCAAACAATATTTACCTCTTTTTTATAACCAAAATTTTATGATCATCACCAATAAATTGGGATTATTCAGTATATATTTCATTTTTTCTATTCATTTGTTGATGTCTATGCACATTTTGTTATTGAACTCAATTTTATATGTACGCGGTGTTTGGTTACTTCAAAATTACAGCACACACAAAAACACACCCTCACCGTCGAAATTAACACACACACACACACTCTCTCAATTTAAGCACACGTACACAAATGACACACAATTTGACGATAACACGGTTCGACGTCATTGTTGACACCCTGCATTTATGGAGAACACCATACAAATATTCGAGTCAATCATGCCACGATCGAACCTTAGACAATGGCACACATGAATCAAAATGGGGATGTTGTTAGTTGTCATTGCCTATGAAATACATAGCGCATGATTGAGTAGACAAAGTCAGTGTGTCGAAAAAAACATATGTCATCTGAGTTCAAGCCTGCATTCCAAAAAGGAACCCAAAATAAGGGTAAAAGAGAACCCATAAATAAAGGTCACAATTACGAAATATTACATAGCAAAAAGAAATCCAAAATAAGTGTCAAAAATATAAAAATTGCAACCAAAAAGGAACCCATAAATACGGGCCACAATTACGAAATATTACATACCAAATAGAAAGGGTCAAGAAAAATATGAAAATTACAACAAAAAAGGAATCCATAAATAAGGGTCACGATTTCAAAATATTACATACCAAAAAGGAACCCAAAAATAAGGGTAAAAAATATATAAAATACTAGCAAAAAGGAGCCCAGAAATAAAGGTCACATTTATAAAATATTGTAAACTAAAAAGGAACCCAAATATGTTTCACAAAAATTAAATGGATAATAAAAAACCTAAAAGTTACAAAAATGTTGTTGTTGTATATTGTTGACCTGTTATATTTATTTTGCTTATTTGGTTAATTGCTTGGCTTAAAGTCATTAAAAAACTATGTTTTTTATTTTTGAATTTTTTCCTTTTTTATTCATCCAATATTTCGATTTCCTACAGAAATCATCTTCAGGGATATTTTTAAAGTGAAAGCTCGTCTATAGAGTTTAAATGTGAGTTTGATAGTGACATTTAAACTCAATAGACGAGCTTTTGCTCTCCTATCCCTAAAGATGATTTCCGGAGGAAATCAAAAAAGGAAAAATTCAAAAATAAAAAACATAGTTTTTTAATGACCATAAGCCAAGCAATTAACCAAATAAGTAAAAAGTTACAAAAAATACTAATCATTACTAACTAAATATAAACCTCCCACTCATCTGATCCCATCTAGACTACTCCGTCGCCCAAACTCCTCTCACTTCATAAAATTAACAAAATGCTCAAGAATATTTAGATAATTAGTATTAACACCCTATGAAATATCAAACAATATTCTAAATTTTATAAGACTAAGAAAATGTTAAATTTTTGGCAGTAAAATTCGATTTTTTTTTTTTTTTTGTTTTAGTGTCATTAACATGTTACCCAACTGTTTCTAAAAACTTATTTCCTTTTCTTTTCAACATCTGATGCAATAAAAGTTTGTTAAATTTTGGCACAATACACTTTCTTCTTAAATTGTATAAGGTTATGCAAATACTTTTCCAAATTGAAACCTTTATCATTATATTTGTTTCATAAATAAGAATTATATGAGGCGTAAAGATAAGTTTGTATCAAAAAATATCTATGTTTTAAATTCAATTGTTAGATTTAAGCCACAACATTATAATTGTTTCTGACGATTCGTGATGACTACGGCTGGGTGATCAATGGACACTTCAAATATCGATCCACAATAATAATAAAAATCCACAATATCGACTTACAACGCTATGAGGATGTATTAAATTGATTGGGGAATGATATAACAGGATAAATGAGACCACTGTTGTCAAGGATACTATGGCATTCCAGCTGGGAAGGATTCGCACCCAACTTGATGAATTGCAGAGACCCAAATCGGAAAACACAAACGCTCAATTAATTGGATTGGGTCGGCTTGGAAATAGATAGCTGGAACGCCTATTGCAACAGATTGGGATGAGATTCTTCGAAGCCAAGATACACTGGTTTCCAATAACAACCAGAAATACAAAATAAACTCAGACATCTCCATAAAAACTCAGGGACTCTTGTGGACTATTAATGGAGCCGTAACTTCAACCAACGACATACTTATACATACCAATCAATCAAAGTTTTCGCAGGAAATACATCATAAGCTGATGATTATGAAGGAGGAAGTAGGCGAATTGGTCTTAGCCTGCCAAATGGCCAAGGCGAAAGTTGTAAACATAAACTTATTAAATAAAGAAGAGATAAATCAATTAATAGGCAAAATAGAAGTTCTTCCATACAGTGATTTCAACGAAGCCATTGAGTACAGCGAACCTTCCATCTACACTAATAGCACCCGCTTACTTTACATTTTATCGATGCCAAAAGTAGATGTAACCAAATTTAACCACTTGATTGTACGAGCTGCCTTAAAAAAGGATCAAAAAGTGAGTCATAAAATGATACTGATGAACAAGGACGAAACCTATGGTATTAAAAATAGATGCCTTCGAATGTAAGAAGGAAGCGCTTGATAAGTTATCTAGTGAAGAATCAAAGGTCGAACTACTTAAAGATGGCACATTATTCTTGGACAACTTTAACGGTAGTATTTGGCCCAATGGAACATCCCATCACCATGATGGATCCTTTATTCTACAAATGCAAAATGAATCCTTAACAGTAAACAATAAAATGAATTGGAGTATGACTAGTTTTGGCGTTCAAGTACTTCCATCGGTACTAACCACCATCACGAATAGGAGCATATCGGTTACTCTTAATCTAATACATGAAATGGCTTCAACGAACATACGACTTTTGAGCAACCTTAAGGAAAAAACATTTGGTTCGTGATGTCAAGATCCTTGGGTCTATTCCTACTAATGGGACTGATGTGGATAATCTGGAGGAAACTAACAACGAAGATAAACCTACCCAAACTTAACCTGTCAGTACTACAACAAAATACTTCCCAACATCCTGATCTGCGGGACGAAGATTTTTAAAAGGGGGAGAGTTAACACATTCCAGTCTCACCAAACCACTGTGTTGCCCTATTTTAACATTACACGTGTCGCTTATTCAGCACTTTAATTCCATTGCGAAATTGCAATATAATATCTTCCCATAGACGTTGAACCTGTTCACGAGGTGCACCATCAGCATAATGCACCTGAGGGAAACATATTTCGCAACATAATTTTAGGGTCGCTACCAGAAATTCGAAGCTTGAAGACAACTATTGGAACTGGCAGATTTCAGTTGAGTTCGGGAGTAGAACGTGCATAGTTCGTAATTTTAAGTTATTCCTTTCATTTCATTCTTTATTAAAATAATAAATTGATTTAAATTTAACTGCTCTCGTCGGGTTTGACGGATTATTTTTTTTTTCAAACTAGGACGAGAGTCCTTAACTTCTATAATGAGTGTGATGGGTTTGATTCATCTTAGTTTAGTATCGTGAGTGAATTGATTAACACACAAGTTATTGAACCTGAGCGAAATCATGATTGTAATTTGACTTAGCATTTGGTAAGTAAAAGACAGCCCCCATTCAGGAAATTAGAACATATTATATTTAATAAACACACAATTTTTAGTTTTATTTAGGTTTTTGTTATATTAGACTTCAGTGACTTATTTGTAAAAAAAATCATTATTTGTAATAAAGGAACACATCAATGTATTTAATAAACAAAAAATGTTGACATATTTTTTTAATTTTTTAATTAACAGTATTGGTCAAGATTATTCACACTCGTGCTCGTTGCAACCGTTTGATATATACATGCGCGGTGAAAAACGTCGGATGAGGTATTTTATTTTTAATTATTGAAAGACGCACATAATCGCTTTTTTTCATTCATTTTCAGGCCCTTTGTATAACTTTACTTAAAACTAAACTAAAACACATATAATCTAATCCGCTTAAAAACGGAACGGATCAATTGTATATCCATGGTACTCTATCGTGCAACGTCACTACTCCATATTTCACTAACTTTGCTAATTACTTCAGTTTCAGGTGAAGTTTTATACCTCATGAAATATCCTTGAATTTGAGCAGGGCTGACATGCTTGCCAGTGCTGATTACTGAGTCTGCAAAGTTCATGGCTCCCTTGTTGTCTTGATAAAATCTTTTGAACATTTCTATTAACTGATATTTGGAACAATATCCTATGTATTCTTGTACATCCACGCGACCTGGCCTAATTAATGCTGGGTCTAACCTATCAATATAGTTTGTTGTCATAAAGACAATCCGAGCTTCTGTCGAAGCCACGCCGTCCAAACAGTTAAGCAAGCCACTAAATGTTACTCTGTTTAAACCCTCGTAAGCCGCTTTTTGGTGCTGCACATCTTCACGGGACGCGAAGGCTGCATCAATGTCCTCAAGTAATATTATAGACTGTTCCGGAGCAACATTTAATAAATGGTTCAATCTATCGTCAGTTAATCCTCTCTCTGACAAGTTAAGTAAACATATGCCATATTCTAGTTCTCCTGCCAAAGCAGTAATGAAGCTTGACTTCCCACAACCAGGGGGACCATATAATAAATATCCTCTTCTATATGGTATTCCTCTGTCTGCATACCATTGGGGGTTGTTAATAAATTCCTTGCAGTCACTGATAATTCGCATTGATATTTGTTTATCTAATACAACCGAAGACAATGGGCGGCGCCTTCGCGGATGTCCGAATGGCCTCCATTCAGAGCCCATAGCCGTATACATAATGGTTTTTCCTTCTGTTGCTTGAAGTGCATATTGTCGAGCCTCCTCTAACATTTCAAAATAAAGCTGTTTGTTTCTTCCAAACGCAGTTATCGTTACCGACTCCCAAGGAACGCCCATGTGCAGATCTAAAGTCTGTTGTTCTCTCGACCTTTCAACCTGCATCCACACTCCTTTATAACGCATCAAATGTTTTCCAATGCTGGGAATGAAATCGTACTTGGTTTTAATTTTTCCAGTTTCTTTTTGCACAAATGAAGTCTCAACACTTAGGTGTTGCGTGTCACGAGCAGCGTGAGCTGTTATCCATTGCAACAACCATTGATACGATTTATCACGGCACGGTACTTCCAATGTAATCATAAGATGTCGTCTGAATAATACAATACTCCCTTGTAGGCCTTTGCGAAGAATCGCCGCACCTGCTCCGACTCCAAAAAGGCCAAAGCCGGCGCCAAAATAAGGATTCGTCGATAAGTTATTCAGAAGATCAGTCAACATTCCGTATTTCCAATATCCGTCAGTTAGGAATACCTAAGTTAACATTTAACTTATTAAGGAAATGGGCTCATATAACAGGTCTACCTAAAATATGCCGCACGTATGTTTACGAAGTGTTCACACACAACTGTCATGAATCACAGTTACATGTTACCATGGTGTAAGAATACAGGTAGACCATGGTAGAAGAATACAGGTAGATGCACTCTTGGGAACATTGATATGTCAAAAAATGTAAATGTTTTTGCAAATATAAGTAGATTTTTATGCTTTCTTACACGACGTCATTCGGAGGTTATTATAATTACATTTATTTATTTATATGTTGCGATGAAAAAGCCATTAGGCCAATAACTATCACAACTATCGAAAAACTACTTATTCGCGTTTTCAACAATTTTTACAAATTTGAATAATTTTTCTATCAATATTATCAATTCCAAAATTGGTTTGACAGTTCATTGTCCCAGCAGCTGTGTCGACGCGTCTACCTATATTCTTCTACCATGAGGTAGACGTATTGACACAGCTGCTGGGACAATGAACTGTCAAACCAATTATGGTATTAAAATTTTTTAATGAAAAATTATTCAAATTTGCAAAAATCCCAAGTCCCCAAGCGTTGATGCACTTACCTGAAATCATGTATCATGGCTAATTAAAAAAAGATTCCTAACTGCAAAGAAACTAGGAAAATGGGACTCTGTATCTAAGTCGTCTTGTGTCAAATAAAATTTTTGAATATGCAACATTGTTTTGTTTTTTTTTTAATTATTTTTACAAATTTCAATTCAATCGAAGATAGAGGGAAATTTTTATTTTATCCAAAAATTATAAAAATTATTATCTGTTGCCTAGATTTGAAAATAATTCATATTTTTTTTATTTATTCAAAACAACACACACATACAAACTGTGTAAATGTTTTGATAGAATAGAAAAAAAATATTTTGGAGGTAGCTTTTTTTACCTTCTGTAGTTGTGCCACAATGTGCCAAGAGTTTACATAACTATTAAGCGATTTGAAAGGACAGCGAACTCAAGAAAGTTGTGACATTGTAAACAATTTATGAAGAAAAACATTTGAAATTTGTTAAAGAACAAACAACTCATTGTCAGTAATAATTTTGAAGCAAGTCAGATTTAAAGGTTTGCATGGATCATTTTAAATTTTATATAACAGGTAACTATTTGAACCTGATTGCTGCAAAGTAATTTTTCGTAGGGAAATACCTAGTTATTTCATCCGAAAATTTGAATACAAAATCTGGCTTTTATCCGGTTCTACAAAATCGATATATACCTCATAATGGGTGCATTTTCCATTTTTACGGTTTTTTGAAAAAAAAAATGCTGTACAAGAATACCGATTTTCTCCGGAACGAGAGAGAGTCAAGAAGAACAAGCAGCCGAAGCACCCGAAGAATTCCACCAGCTCGTTTTGATCCAGACACTTACGAAATGTCCATCGCTCATTCGCCAAAATTTAATACGCCGTCTGACAGCCTCCAAAACGAACCTGAAAATACAGCTTCGGTCAGTATGTCTTGCACAAATAACACAAATCAGCTGCTTGCTCAACTACTACCAAAAAAAACTACCACAAATTCACCAGCCACAACCTACAAATCCACAAACGAAATCTGCGATTTAAAAAATCAAATGAAGATGCAAATAACAGCGATGCAAAAACAAATTCAGGCAATGCAAACACAATTTCTTGATAATTCAAAGCAAATGCAATTACAACAAGCCACGCAAATACAGTCAACATTAGCCACGCAAATGAAGAGACAATTATTAGAAACCGCCATTCAAATGCCATAACAATTAGTCACTCAAATGTTTTCACAATTAGCCTTTCCACGCGAGGAATATGAAAATATCCGCCACTAAATCGACGGCCACACAATTTACCACATGGACTGCGGAGATGAGAACACAGCTGAATGTGCAGGTCGAGGGGCATATAATTCCGACCACCAACTACCCCAAAATCCTTGGGGTCACATTCGATAGCATGTTCAAGTCTTCCGCGCAAGCCACAGCTATTTGCGATAAAATAAAAAGTAGGAACAAGGTCCTCAAGGCGCTAGCCGGCAGCACTTGGGGTGCGGATAAGGAAACCTTGTTGACTTCTTATAAAGCGATAGGTCGGTCTGTGGTTAGCTATGCGGCTCCAGTGTGGTCGGCGAATACAAGTGCAACGCAGTGGAAAAGCATTCAGACCTGCCAGAATGCCGCCCTGAGAACTGTTTCAGGTGCCTCCTCATGACTCCTGTGGACCATTTACATGAGGAGACGAAGGTTCTTCCCTTACGTCAGCATAATCATATGCTTTCGTTGCAATACCTGCTTGGGTGTTATCGTGGGAGTCACCCTAACCACCATATGGAGGATAGAACTCCCCCACCCAGGCGTGTCATGAAGGACCTGCACGATCTAGAGAGAGAGGTCCAGCGATATAAGAGAGAGCCCCTAGATCATGAAGGCTATCAAGCGGGTCTGAATAGCATTCATACTGATGCAGTCGCAGAGGTAGTTAATAATTACAGTATGAATGCCATACTCTGAGTCCACCATCCATCCATTGCAGCATAATCAGTCAACACCGTCACTTCATTAACCGCCGCAATCTTGCCAGCAACAGCTACCATCACATCCTGAGAATACGCCGTCTCACGCACCAACTCACCAAATTTCCGTAACCTCAGAAATGTCCGTCCACAATTCCACAGCCAACAACTCAACGTCCATTCCACACATAAAGATATACCCATTGCCTACCTTTACGGGATTGCCAGAAGAATGGCTCACGTTTCATGAGTCTTTTGAAATCACAACTATGGAGTTTGGTTACTCCAACCTGCACAACATAATGAGATTGAGGGATGCACTGAAAGGTTCTGCCAAAGAAGCCGTAGAGTCTCTGCTTGGTAATTCTGCCAATGTCGACGCCATTTTGAATTCACTCCAGGAGAAGATATATCCATTGCCTACCTTTACGGGATTGCCAGAAGAATGGCTCACGTTTCATGAGTCTTTTGAAATCACAACTATGGAGTTTGGTTACTCCAACCTGCACAACATAATTAGATTGAGGGATGCTTTTTGGTGCTGCACATCTTCACGGGACGCGAAGGCTGCATCAATGTCCTCAAGTAATATTATAGACTGTTCCGGAGCAACATTTAATAAATGGTTCAATCTATCGTCAGTTAATCCTCTCTCTGACAAGTTAAGTAAACATATGCCATATTCTAGTTCTCCTGCCAAAGCAGTAATGAAGCTTGACTTCCCACAACCAGGGGGACCATATAATAAATATCCTCTTCTATATGGTATTCCTCTGTCTGCATACCATTGGGGGTTGTTAATAAATTCCTTGCAGTCACTGATAATTCGCATTGATATTTGTTTATCTAATACAACCGAAGACAATGGGCGGCGCCTTCGCGGATGTCCGAATGGCCTCCATTCAGAGCCCATAGCCGTATACATAATGGTTTTTCCTTCTGTTGCTTGAAGTGCATATTGTCGAGCCTCCTCTAACATTTCAAAATAAAGCTGTTTGTTTCTTCCAAACGCAGTTATCGTTACCGACTCCCAAGGAACGCCCATGTGCAGATCTAAAGTCTGTTGTTCTCTCGACCTTTCAACCTGCATCCACACTCCTTTATATCGCATCAAATGTTTTCCAATGCTGGGAATGAAATCGTACTTGGTTTTAATTTTTCCAGTTTCTTTTTGCACAAATGAAGTCTCAACACTAAGGTGTTGCGTGTCTCGAGCAGCGTGAGCTGTTATCCATTGCAACAACCATTGATACGATTTATCACGACACGGTACTTCCAATGTAATCATAAGATGTCGTCTAAACAATACAATACTCCCTTGTAGGCCTTTGCGAAGAATCGCCGCACCTGCTCCGACTCCAAAAAGGCCAAAGCCGGCGCCAAAATAAGGATTCGTCGATAAGCTATTCAGAAGATCAGGCAACATTCCGTATTTCCAATATCCGTCAGTTAGGAATACCTAAGTTATCATATAACTTGTCAAGGAAATGGGATCATATAACAGGTCTACCTAAAATATGCCGCACGTACGTTTACGAAGTGTTCACACACAACAAACTGTCACGAATCACACTTACATGCATGGTAGAAGAATATAGGTAGACGCGTCGACGCAGCTGCTGGGACAATGAACTGTCAAACCAATTTTGAAATTGAAAATGTTGAATGAAAAATTATATAAATTTGCAAGAATTGTTGAAAAAACGGATTATAATAACCTCCAAATGATGTCGTATAATAAAACATATAAAAATCTACTTATATTTGAAAAAACATTTAAATTTTTTTGACATATAAATGCTCCTAAGCGTTTATGCATCTACCTGTATTCTTCTGCCATGTTTACATGTTACCATGCTGTAAGAATACAGGTAGACCATAGTAGAAGAATACAGGTAGATGCATGCTTGGGAACATTATATGTCAACAAAATTTATTTTCTTGCACATATAAGTAGATTTTTATGTTTTGTTACACTACGTCATACGGAGGTTATTATAATTCGCGTTTTTCAACAATTTTTACAAATTTGAATAATTTTTCTATCAATATTTTCAATTCCAAAATTGTTTTAACAGTTAATTATCCCAGCAGCTGTGTCGACGCGTCTACCTATATTCTTCTAACATGAGGTAGACGCATGGTAAAAAAATACAGGTAGATGCATCAACGCTTGGGAGCATTGACATGTTAAAAGTTTTTTAATTTCTTTTCAAATATATGTAGGTTTTTTATGTTTTCTAATACGACGTCATTCAGAGGTTATTATAACATGGCTTTTTCAACAATTTTTACAAATTTAAATAATTTTTCATTCAACATTTTCATTTCCAACATTGGTTCGACAGTTCATTGTCCCAGCAGCTGCGTCGATGCGTCTACCTATATTCTTCTACCATGTGTAGACGCATTGATACATCTGCTGGGACAATGAACTGTCAAACCAATTATGGTATCAAAATTTTTGAAAGAAAAATTATTCAAAATTGCAAAAAATTTTTAAATAGGGCATATTATAATAATCTTGTTGTTAACTTCCGACTGGCGTACTATGAGAAAACATTTACAAGTCTACTTATATTTAAAAGAGAATAGAAAAGCAAAAAATATTTTAGAGGTAGCTTTTTTTCTACCTTCTGTAATTGTGCCACAATGCGCCGAGAGTTTACATAACTATTACGCAATTTTATTTATTTATTTAAAATTTTTTTATTTTTAATTACAAATTATAATAAAGAATGAAATTATAAAAGCACTAGCAATTAAAGCTATCGGCTAAAGTGTAAGAAATATCTTAAGGATAGAACTATATAGAGTTGTTGCTAATATATCTATATATATACAAAGATTTGTTTCATTATATTTTGTGATGCAAATTTAGGGATTTTAGGAAATTGTAGATGTTATAGATGTTGTTGTGGGTAGAGTTTTTTAGTATATCCAGTAGATTGGTTTGTGAGAAAAATGTTGTCCTTGATGTTTGAAGTGATGGACATTCAATAATCAGATGGTAGGTAGATAAGGTTGTTCTATTGCAGAATTCACATATCGGTGGTGACTCATTATTAAAATGATGTTTATGTGTAAGATTACAGTGAGTCAGTCTTAAGCGGGTGAAACATTTGTTTTGGTGTATTGATGTCGTCGAAGGTAGTACAAATCATGGTACAATGAAGAGAAGGTAGGCCAACTTTGAAAAAATTGCAAGTATAGAGGTATACCTGTTTGGCTTGTAATGTCAGAAATAGTATCAAAACAATAACAAAATCAAACAACTTGTTGCATTTATAAATAAATAATTGAAAACCGCGAAAAATGAATGAAAGGTCAACACCTCTTTTCAAAACCAGGTTCTATATATCTCTAAAGGATTATTTCGCTACAAAAACTCTAGATTTTGTCGATGCATACGATGAAATAAACATTTTGAAAACATCCGAATTTGAATGTTTTCTGAACAATTTTTTTGTTATTGAAAAGAAAACACATACATAAACAAATAAAGATTACATATTAAGCCAAGATAATAAAAAAATTGAAATCATATGGTATTATAGCCCTACCTTGATATCATTTTACCATGGTACCAATGGTATTTTTTGCGGATTAAATAATTTGTAGATGTGGTTATATTCATTCCAAACAATTTCGGCTTCTTTTTTGCAATATTGAACTGCAACATTTATTACATATTTTTTCGTAAAACGTATAAATGTAAAGGTTGGTACTGAGCTACCTATTGATTTGGCAGCAGAGTCTGCTAGCTCATTTCCAAAAATCCCAACATGGCTAGGAACCCACATAACTTTTATTTTAGATTTCATCGTTATAAATTCCTGTTGGATTGATGTTATAATTTCGTTCTTGTTCCAGCAATTGAGACAAGATGTACATACGGAGCGACTGTCAGTACATATAAGAGTTTTACTGTGTTGATTTCTGAACAACTCCGCAGATTTTAATACAGCAATAGATTCTGCATCAAAAACTGTACCATGTTGGGGAAGAAGGCCAGAAGTTTGTATGGAACCATCTTCAGTTACTACTGCAAATGTGGTATTATGATCAGTTTTCAAGCCGTCAGTAAATAATATTTTCCAACCAGACTTTTTATGCTCGTCAAATATTTGATTTGATAATGTTGTAAATACCTGGGCAGTTGTAGTGGATTTTGGATAGCATATTAATGAACCTTCGTAGATATTTTTGCCCAAATTCCATGGAGCATGTACTTGGTTTGGAGCTTTGTATGAAAATAAATTTAAATTCGTAGCTATCTCATAAATATTGGATAAAACAGATGGACGTTTTAGTTCGGCCTTTCTTTTGCGCAGTAAAGATAGTTCGTATGATAAAATTCCATCTTGAGAACATAACACCTTCTGTACCAATCGAGCTTGTAGATTATGGGCTTATTTATGTAATTTCTCGAAGCCTGCTTCAGCCATTAGATTAGTTATGAGTGTTGTTCTAAATGCGCGAAGACTGCATCTTATAGCATTGTGAAATATGCTTTCTATAGGAGACATACAGGTTTTTGGTGCATTTGTGTAGAAAATAAGTCCGTACTCGATTTTGGATAATATAACAGCATTAACAACTTTCAACAATGCATTGGTGTGAACATGACTCTTTTTAGTTGATAAATATTTTACAATATTAAACCTACTTTGTAGGTTTAGTTTTAGATATTGACAGTGTTTTTTAAAGCTATACTTATTATCTATGTACAGGCCTAAAATCTTACATACATCGGTATTTAGAATTGCATGATTATTGTAATGTATATTTATTGGGCTACAATTTCTTTTATTGCATATATGCAGATGAACTGTTTTCTCATAGGAAATGTTGGAACCTGATTTATTGGACCAACTATCAATTTGTTGTAGAGTTTCTGAAAATATTTGATTAATGTCCAAATTGTTTTGGGGCTTTGCTATGATGTAAAGATCATCTGCATATATACAATGTACGATTTGTTTATTTGAAGACAAAATTTGACTTAACTCATCAAATGCTATTATAAATAGTGTAACTGACAATGGAGATCCCTGTGGGATACCATTGTGCAGCGATACTGTCTCGGAGTGAATATTATTTAATAATACTGAGAATTTTCTATTGGTGAGAAAAGATTTAATAAAATTGTACATTTTGGGACCAATTTTCCAGTCCACAAATTTTCGAAGTATTATGTGTATGCCGATTCTATCGAAAGCTTTAATGAAATCAATGGAAAGAATTGAAGTGTTCCTTCTTGTGGATCGATTCTTCTGGATGATGTGGTCAATGAGTAGTAGGGCATCCATTGTACTAAGTCAGGTTGAAACCCAACTTGATTGTGAGATATAAGTTTATGTTTATTTATGTACCACAAAGGCATTTAGAGATTATTTTTTCAAGAAGCTTACTCAGGCATGGTAAAAGGGGTATTGGTCTGTAGGATTCAATTTGATTACTGGGTTTGTTTGGTTTTGGAATAGGCAATACCGATGCCGATTTGTAAAATTGTGGTATAATGCCTGAGGAATAAATATCGTTAAAATGGTCTAAAATGCGTTTTGGAAAGAAAATGGTGTATTTTTTATCATGGGGTAAGAAATTCTATCTAAACCTGGTGTTTTGCCTTTTGAAGTCTTCAGACTATATAATAGTTCTTGAAAAGTGAGTTCTTCTTTCAAACATATTGATTTTGACGAATAATGAGTTGGTGAAAGTGCTAATTCCAGTAATTCTGTTTTGTTTCTGCGGAAAAGTTTGAATCACTGGAATTTGAGGACCAATGTTGTGCAAATGTTGTAGCTATAATATTTGAGTCTGTAATTGTTGTACCATAAGTGTCTATTGATTTAATTTGTCTTGGCTTCCAGTTTTCTGTAAGCAAACGAATTTTACCCCATAGAAAAGATGATGAAAACGTTTGGGGAGATTGTTGACGTTAAACGTTGGAAGGCGTTCGTCTTTGCTATGCTTTTAGCTCTATTAAAAATGGAGAGGAAAACCTCTTATAGTCTAGAAGATGTTCTCTACTTATATTCTCTGCTTATATTATATTTTTAGATTGAGAAAAATTGACTTCTACTGAAGATATATTATTCCGAAATTTAATCCAATCAGCTCTATCTGTTATATATATTTTGGTTTAGAAGCACCAGAAGAATTGGTGTTGATATTTAAAGTTGTCACTGAAGGAAAATGATCGCTATTGTAAAGATCATCTACTGTGTGCCATGAGCATTTTGGAAATACTGTTATGGATACAATAGCAACATCTATATGGGTAAATGCATGGTACAATGATATCAAGGTAGGGCTATGATACCATATGATTTTAATTTTTTTATTTTCTTGGCTTAATATGTCATCTTTATTTGTTTATGTATGTGTTTTCTTTTCAATAACAAAAAAAATTGTTCAGAAAACATTCAAATTCGGGTGTTTTCAAAATGTTCATTTCAACGCAGGCATCGACAAAATCTAAAGTTTTTGTAGCGAAATAATCCTTTAGAGATATATAGTACATGATTTTGAAAAGAAGTGTTGACCTTTCATT